TTCAACTGTGGAAAAAAGTTTCTCATGACACGCTTTGAATATCAAAACTTGCATATTTGTTTTTATATTCATTTCTAAGCCACCTTTCCCCACGGTTGATAATTATTACCGTTGGAAAAAATTGTACTGGTTATGGACTCGAACCCCAACACTAGTTGTTTTGTTATGGTTTTGGTTTGATCATGTAGACTAGTGGCTGAAATTTCACCCTTCAAAGATGAATAAGTGAAATGTCACAGGTTCGAACCCACTCTCTTACATTTGTTGTCCTTGCATAGCTATCAAATGAGTTGGCTTAACAAGACTAGTATTTTTGTTTTTATATTTTTTAAGCTACTTTTCACCATAGTAGTTATCCTTACCATGGTGAAAAGTGGCTCATTCCTATTTTTTATTTTTAAATTAAAAAAAATATTTCCCGCGGTTGAGTATTCTAACTGTGGTGAAAAGTCACTTAATTTCATTTTTTTAAGATATATAATGTTCTACGTTCATTCACTTTTTCCCTAGATGAAGTTCATCTTCTTCCTCCAAACTTCATCTTTCATTTATTAAATTTTTTTATCTGCTAAACCAAAGTCGAAAATATCATTTCTTCCATAAATGACACTAAAAACCATTATTTTTTTAATTAACGAGTTTTGGAACTCCGATAACACGAAATGATGTTGTATATTTTGGCTCGATTTGGATGTATTTTGATGTTGATTATGTAGGTTTTGGTTGTGTTATGCTGGTATTCTACTTGTGTTTCAGGTAATAATCATACAATGACGACAAAAAGGAAAAACACAAACAATATATGTTTCAGGCTGTCATGACGAGCTTTATCCAGTCATGACGCTCGTCACCTGGTGAGCGTCCGCATCCGTTAGCCAAACCGTCAAGTAGAACTTGGGAGGAAAGCCTGAAAAGAATGATGTTTGGTCTATCACAAGGAAGACGTTCGTCATGGTATATGGCTGTAGAAAATTCAGGAATTAATTTTAAAATACAACAAAAGCGCTTTTTAATTAATTTGGAAAAATCTAATTTTTAAAGAGGTGATTTTTATTGATAAACGTACACGCGAAAGCGGACGTTTATTAGTCTAAAAATCTGGTACTGACTATGCGAAAGAGAGTGGTACCTTTTAATTAATTTTCTGCTAAAGTAACTTTTTAAGTAAACAAGCAATTATTTTCCAAATAGAATTTCAAAGCTATAACATGTACACGTGAAAGTGGGTAATTAGATTAAAGAATCAAAATTATGTGTCGTACACGCGAAAGCGTGCATTACATTTAACTTAATTATTTTCTGCAAGAAAATATTTTCTCATTATAAATTATAAGATGCGGATTTGTGAGTACCAATGGTTGACGCGAAGTACATTTTGTCTCTCGTGATTATAATTAAACTTAAACCAACTTATTTTCTGATTCCGCGAACAAATCCATTCGTATCGCTTTAAATAAAATCATAGTAGTAGAGAACGATGCTTGTCATTTGGTCTCTGTGGGATTCAACATCTTTTATACTTAAATCGATAAAGCCAGGCACTTGCTGGTCTATCAAGTTTTTGGCGTTGTTGTTGGGGACCGATATCGTACTACATTATTACACCGTATAGACATAGAAAAATTTGTTTTCATTTTACTTTCCCTATTATCGGTTGTGTGCAAAAGACCCGACCCTCTAGGGAATTAGTTCAACCGATAAACAAAATCAAGCATTGGTTGCATATCAGACGATGATTAGAACAACTTCATGCTAGATGAATGAGAATAACGATAATCGTCCTCTTAAGGACTTTGTTGTCCCATCTCAGAACGAGCCACTCTCAAGTATTGTTAATTCTGCAATTTAGGCTAACAACTTTGAGTTGAAACCGTCTCAGCTACAAATCGTGCAGCACAATCAATTCTCTGGTAACCCGATGGAGGACCCAAATTTGTATGTTTGTGCAATTCGATGACACAATTAAAAGTAATAACGTCGACATTGAATCCATTTTATTACATCTATTTCCTTTCTCCCTAAGAGACATAGCCCGAGCTTGACTATAATCTCTACCGTTGAATTCCATAATGACATGAATGAGTTGAAGAACACATTCCTTGCGAGGTATTTCCCGCCTAGAAAAAATGTTCAGTTGAAGAACCAAATTACCTATTTTAAGAAGAATGAATGTGAGTTGTTCACTACTATGGAAAACCCATCTAACAACGGCTTGAAAACACGTATAATCACACGGGTCTAGTGGTTGTTGTGTAGAGTGTGGTTGTATACGCGACACTTACAATCAAGATTAAATGACCGTTGTTGTAAAATGTCTATCACAACGGTTGAATCAAATAACCATTGTAATAATTATAGTGACACGAGTTCAATACCCAGCTACAATCAAAATTAAAGCACATAAAAATATCCTTTAACCACGGTTAAATGTTCCAACCGTTATGGTATATATAAGAGTTTATTATAAAGTATGAGATTGCTTGTTTTTTCCAGCCCCTCATTAATCATATACAACCATTCAAATAGTTTTTTTGAGACAATAATAAAAAAGATTAAGTTATTATTGAAAAACAACTTAAAATATCCAATATTTTTCAAATTGCAAGTATCCTGTAAATCACGATTTACTCTCTCTTAACTTATAGGATTTGATTCAATCTTAAATTCTTCAAAGTAATGTTAATAAATGGATGTTAGTCAGAGTCTTTCATATAAATTTTGATTTCCTCTTCTTTTCTATTTTTTTTTAAACGTCAAGTTTTGTGTAAAAGACTCAGACTAGCACCCATATATTAACATTGTTTTGAAGAATTTATGACATTGAATGAAATTCTTTATGCTAAAGAGGGAATTATGATTTACAACATGTATGCAATTCGAAAAAATATTGGATCGTTTAAGTTGATTTTCAAGAATAACTTGATTTTTTTTTAAATTATCATCTTAAAAATCTTTTTAAATGAAGTGCAAGTTCAATGTGGGATTAGTGAAACAAGCAAACTCATATGATATAACAAACTCTCTAACAATATTTATCAACAAAAATATCAAATTAATTTACATGGATAGTGAAATAAATAATATACATACTATATAATAAACTATACTTCATCTTGACATGTCAACATGTATAAGAATTAAAAGAACAAAACATTGTTAAGTCACAAGTAGACTTTTTCTTATGAGTTAACAATGTTTTGTTCTTGTTTTGAGATTATTTTTCAACAAAAACATCCAACAATATCACAAAATATATTAAGTTGTTTATAGAACGCACCTCTTATTAAAAATAAACGTGGAACTATGAAGTTCATTTAGTTTGTGAAGCAATAAGGAACAAATACAAGGTGTATGAAGTTTCTACGATGACATCATACTTCTTGTAATTTTCTCCATTACTACAAAAAAACCCTATGTACCTTATCAACTCATACTATACGCTTGCTACCACCATCATCATCACCATATGAGCTTCAGTTAGTTTGTGAAGCCATGCGAAAGAAATATAAGAAGAATGAAGTTTACACAATATCTTCATACTTCTTATATTTCTTCTCATAGCTTCTCAAACTATATGAAATTTATTGTTGTTGTTGTTGTTTCTTGAGTTCTACAAACACCCTGAATATTATCAACATGTGAAACCACAAGCTTATTTGTCAATAGAGTATGAAAAATATCTTGTTTGTGAAGCTATGAATAAGACAAAAATAACATGCAACAAGGTAGTGAAGACAAATCTGAAAAAAGAGAACAATCAACAAAAACAACATGCAACAAACGAGATAATGACTAACAAGAAGAAGGAAGAAGAAGAATACCTTAACGTATGAAGCACAAGATTCACGGCCAATGGTGAAAAAGAAGAGAAAAAATTGGTGTTAGGGTTTCATTGTGAAGAAAACAACGCTATTGTCAATAAGTGAGAGTTAATTTGCTTATATATGGGTAAACTCTTTCACAATGGTTAACACTTCCAACAATATTGATAAAAAATTATTTATTTTAAATATATCACAACGATTAATTAAAATCACCGTAGCGATATCCCTTTTATTTGTGTGTTTTAAAATAAATAAAAAAGAAAAGATTCGCCTTAACGTTTAATAGAATACAATATTTTATGGTGTTGACGTTCGAATCCATGAAAGTTTGATTAGATCACCACGATTGGTTATTCAACCGCTGTTATATACAAATAATTTTTAATGTAAAAATAAAATAAATATGATAACGCCTTAATTTAGAGATGTCATCAAAGTTGAGGGAAGAACCGTGATAACTATGATGTTGTTTACGCGTTTTGTAATAATGATTTTCCAATACGTAGGAACGATACAAGAAAATGATGAGAATCTGCCAACACCACATTCTAGAAAAGTGGTTGATTGTTCGTATATTATTAATAGTCTTCTCTATAGTATGAGAATGTCTAATGATTTCGTAACAGGTGGAGTTCTGATGAATAAACCCACTGATGCCTACACTTTAATCGAAAGTATGGATTAAAACCACTGTAGATGAGAAGACACACTCCCGTTGAAAAGACACAACCCAAGAGCGGTATATAAGATGTTACCAATTTCAATAACATGAAAACTAAAGTAGATGCACTTACTCAGAAGATTAATTAATTTTCTTTGGCATGATGAATATGTTTTTATATATTTATTATTGCAGGCCAATTTTTTTACAAAATATACAAAAAGCAAATGCACTGAAGGCTTTCAGTCACTACCCTATTTTGTTGCATTGTTCAGTTGTATGCTTTGGCTATTCTATGGAATTATCAAAACAAGTTCGATTTTTATCGTTACCATTAACTCAATTGGATGTGGCATAGAAATTATCTACTGTATCATGTACATAGTCTATGCCCCCAGAGCTGCAAAGGTAATTAAAATAAATTCTAATTAATGAATTTTTATTTTAATTAATTAATATATAACAAGAACTCCCCATTAATTAATTGTCACATAACTATGTGTTTAATTGTGGCTATGGATGTTGTTTTATTCACCTTGATCTTCTTGGTCACAAAATTTGCTATACCTGAAGACTATAAAGTCCTAATTCTTGGGTGGATTTGTGTCGCTGTTTCAGTGATTGGGTTTGCAGCACCTCTAATGATTGTGGTAAGTATATAATAATTATGATAATTAAACTAATTTTTATATTACTTACGTGTTGTGTTACATTGATAATTAATGTGTAGGTACGAGTTGTTAAAACAAGAAGTGTACAATTTATGCCCTTCCATTTGTCACTTTTCCTTTCTTACATTGAGTGCAGTTATATGGTTTGGGCATGGTTTCTTTAAACATGATGTGTGCATTTATGTAAGTATATACATATTAGTTAAATTAATCAAATAATTAATAATTAGAACTTTCACGTAATTAACAAATTTGTTTTTGGCAGCTTCCCAATGTGGTTGGCTTTTTATTGGGGATAATTCGCATGGTGTTATATGCTTATTACTCAAAATATGGTGGTAAAAATGATGATAAGCAAGATCAAGGGATAAGTATTGTTGTTGTCAATCCATTAGATGAAAATGATGATATTATTGAGGAAGTGAATAGTCAACAACTTCAAGTGAAGAAGCATGGTTTAGAAGATGAAAACGAGAAGCAAGAGAAAAATGTGGAAGCTATATAGTTAGGAATTGTGTGATAATATTATATATATATATATATATATATATATATATATATATATATATATATATATATATATATATATATATATATATATATATATATATATATATATATATATATATATATATATATATATATATATATATATATATATATATATATATATATATATATATATATATATATATATATATATATATATATATATATATATATATATATATATATATATATATATATATATATATATATATATATATATATATATATATATATATATATATATATATATATGATAATATATTCCCAAAAAATGATGATTGAGACACAGCTAGCTGCTTCTTTGTTTTCTAGCTTACAATGTTATTGTAACATCTTTTTAATTTACATATATTTCATATATAATTTTTTTGAAATAAAATCAATAAAGATCAAGAAGGACATCATATCTTCATAGAATATCAAACAACGAATAACTATATTCCGTAACACGGGTTGTAAAATAATTTGGTCTCATTATATAATCATTTCAAATTTCACAGTGGAATTATTGAGTCATTCCTCTTCATGAAATAATCTCAACACTATGAAAGGTAGTTCAACTATCATTAACATCATCACACTTCATATTTATATCATCACAGTCTAAAACATGGTAAAAATAATGATAGAAATACAAAATCTCAAGATAACAAAATATGCAAGGTTCACAAATAATCGATCTCAACCCCGATGTTACGTATCAGAGCAAGACTCCCTTTATTCAACAAAAGAAAATAAACACACTCCAAAGCTATCCTTTAATGCTTCTACAAACTGTCCTCGATCACCTGCGTGTTATCCACGTGGAGGCAACATTCAAATAGGAAGGGTGAGCAATTCATATATAATAACCGACAAAAAAATAACCGGCAAAAAAATAAGAGTCGTCGCCAATAATTTTTATCTTAAGATGGGAGTATAACGGAATAACCCTAATTGATGATACAAAGATTTTAAGTCTTGACTCGCTTTAGACGAAGGGAATGTGTTAGACACCCTTCATCTACCTTATTCACAAGGATACTAGGGTTTAGGTTTAAGGTTTAGGAATAAGTTTTTAGTTTAAAATAGGGGAACTCGCCACGATTTTGAGTCGTATGCCTACATATCCTCTTATAAGAAATCAAAGTTCTAATTCGTAGTTCGTAGTTATTTGGTTAGTTTTTTTATGGATCGTAGAAATATCTCGAACTCTCCTTGAACCAAGTCTGTTGTTGTGAATAGAGGAATCATAGACGTAGTTCGCAGTCGATAAAAGAAATTTTCGTAATCTTTTTTTGAAAAATATCTTGATTTTATTATATTAGTAAAAAGCAGTTAGTAATTGATTGGTTAGATACTTTAAATATGCTATGCAATATGAGAAAGTAATTTTAAATGAATGAAAAAAATGTTTAATGTAATAAAAAAAGGATTAGTATTTTAGAAAGAAAAATAAATATTTAAGTTAATAAATAATTATTTTCCTAATTATTAAAAATATATTAAATATTTTCAATAAAAAAATATTACAATTATTTATTAATATGAAAAAAAATTAATTTTCATGAAAATGCTAAAATAACATAATATATGAATTAATTGAATAAGAAAAATGAAATATCCTAATTAAATAATATAAATTAATTATTGAAAATTATTTAATTAAACTAAAGGGGTGTAAAACTTAAGTCTGAGAGTGTTAAACTTAAGGGCCAAAGTCCAGATGTTGGACTTGCCTCAAAAATACTAGGAGGGTGTATGTTGCGTTGGAGTAACAAAAAGTGGGGGTGTGAGTAGATTGGGCTTGACCCAGGTTAGTTTAATTCCAAGCGTGGAGGGGGGTATATGTTTAATCTGGGTAGTAAAAATATATGGTGTTAAAAATTGGACTTAGGCCCGTGCGAAATAGTTGGGGTCCGTTGGGACCTCGTGTGGCCGAGCGTATGGCATTACGGTGATGGTGTGTGAGATGAGGCGTTGATCTTGATTAGGATGGTAGAGTGTGAGGGTGCATGGTAAAGGTTGCGCGTGGTATCGCGGCGAGATTATATCTTTTGGTTTTCATTCGTTTTCCTCTTCAATTCCTCAATCTTCTTCTTACTCTTTCTCTTTAATCTTTCTCTCTTCCTCACAGAACAAAACTATAACATTATAACCCTAAAAAAACAAATCGGCGATGCAACCTAACCCTCAATCCCAACCCCAAATATCAATAATAAAATCAAACAAACATTTAAGCTAAGTGCAATCGGAGGTACCTCTTTCGCGGTGAATCTCTGTGTTTTTTCTGATTTTCGATCCACTCTATTTTTTTTATCTCTTCCTCTTTGATTCGCAGGTGACGGAGATGACAGATATAACGACAACAATGGATTAAAGGCAGTGGCGGCGTAGTACAGATCTAAGGTTTCAGAAATTGAAACCCAGATTTCTCTTCTTCTACTCCTTCTTTTGCTTCCCGATTTTTTTGTCCCCTTGTTCTATGTTTTAGGGGTTTATATAGTTTAGGTTTAGATCTATTTTAGAAAAAAATTGTGTTCATTGTCTGTTACGAATTAGATTGATCGTTAGAAATTAGGTTTTAGAAATTAGTCATAAATTGATTTTGATTGTAAATTTTAGGGATTGTAATTGATTCTGGACGATTTTATATAGTATTTGATTCAATAAGATTTGATTATATTTGTGTAATTTGATTTAGTTTAGATTCGAATTTGATTATTTTGAGATTTGAGTTTTCATTTCTGGATCTGGGCTTATCTGTAATTGCTTAGGGGTGAAGATGAAGCAGCTTCCGCGATGCATTAGGGTTTCCAACCCCTTAGGTTGACTTCGATCCACGATTCAGAACAAAAATAATAAATATTTGCTAATAAAATAATACTAATAATAATAATCATAATAATAATAATGTTAATAATAACAATATTAATAATAATAATAAAAATAGTAATAAATAAATGATAACAATTGTAAGTGAATGTTGACTCCAGTTAACCGTTTTCTAACCCTAACATGATGGGCTCAAACCCTTAATGGGCCGGTATATGGAAATGAAGCAATAAACCCCTTCTATTATCTAAACGAGCCTCAAAACTATAATGGCTTAATCAGCTCAAAAATGAACCCCCCCCCCCTTATGACAAAATACACCCTCTTAATAATAAAGGGCCAACATACTTACCTATTAGGCCATCCGATTTTCTAAGCACACCTCCCTTTCATTATTGTTCAAAATGAATCACAAACCCTTAATGGGCCATCAGACTTTGATGGCACACTTGAAGCACCAAAATCCTATTTTATACAAATGCACCTCCCTCCTTTTATCATTTTAAGTGAGTATAAATTTTAATGGACCATCAGACTTTGATGGTCCATATTGAAACAAACACCGCTCTTATGAATTTAAACCCCCCATAGAAATAATATTCAAAACAAACACACGATAAAAACACTAAGATTTTGAATAACATAACCGTTGAAATTGATGGTGAAAATTTAGGGTATGACAACTGCCCCTATTTAATTACTCTTTGATTGACGGTGCGAGAATACACAGATCTCTCACATTCGAATCGGAGGGGGTTATTAAATAATGAAAGACCCCAAAATTTGATCCAAGGTTGGCTAGATAAGGATATACTGTAAAGCATACCCCAGAGAATGAAGAAATATAGGCAAAGATGATGATGTATCATCCTACCAGAGTTTGAATAAAGAGTTCCGATAGACCTGGATACGACGACGCAGATAACTCGTCAATACCTAGAAAAGAGACCGTAGAATTTTTGCGTGTTTACCATAACCTAGGAGGTAAATAACACAAGTTTGAAAATTGACTTACTAATGCTTTGAGACTAATAAATTAAGATATAATGCAGATTTCATATACTCATCGCAACCTAGGGGATGAATAAAACAAAGTTTGATAATCCATTTCCGCATGGAGACTAACACAATGAATTATTTTATGACTAACATAATGAGTTATATCGCATATTTCGTACATCTACTACAACCTAGGGAGTAAGCAATGCGAGGATAGGCTTATGTATTTATCACAACCAAGAGGATAAATAACACAACTTATTAATTCATTATCGCTTGGAGACTGACACAATGAAGTATAGACTTTCACATACCTACCACAACCTAGAGGATAGATAATACGAGAATAGGCTTGTGTATTTATCACAACCTAGAGGATAAGTAACACAAACCTGATAATTCATTATCGCTTAGAGACTGACACAATGAACTATAGATTTTCGTACATCAACTACAACCTAGGGAGTAAGCAATGCAAGGATAAGCTTGTATATTTATCACGACCTAGAGGATAAATAACATAAACCAGATAATTCATTATCGCTTAGAGACTGACACAATGAACTATAAATTTTCACATACCTACCACAATGTAGGGGATAAATAATACTTTATCACGACCTAGAGGATAAATAACATCAACCTGAAAATTCATTATCGCTTAGAGACTGACCCAATGAGCTATATATTTTCGCATACCTACCACAACCTAGAGGATAAATAATACGAGTTTAGATATTTGAAAAATGTTTTGATAATCGAATCTTAGATAACTAAACCAAAGATAAGATTGAAGTTTACGGGTTGTGTCTATTCCAAACCAAGGTGTTTGTTTATTTTGCATAGATAAGCTAATTCCATGATAGGTCCCAAGAAAATTCGTAGTATTCTTACCCAAAGTAGACTTGAAAATGCCATGTACGATGTATATGCACGATGCCCTAAATCGATATGAAAATGTATATGCACCAAATGTTTGTAAAGTTTATGCACCAAATGTATTGTAAATATTGTCTGTTATTTTTCTCCATTTAAACCATTGGTATTTCTTTCTTTTGTCACCGACTCCCCAATGTTGCATGTTGTTTTGTCGTGGTATTTAATTCTAATTTTGATAAAATAAAGTGAATAGTGTCAGCAAGA